TTGACAACTACTTTTTATTGCAGAGAAATTATTTTTCCTTCAGGTATCAGTTTTTATTCCAAGAAAGGTATGCCCTCCCGATTTTCAGTTACCTTCAGCAAGGTTTTTTAATAAAAAAAATTAAATTAGGTTTGTCTGACAAAGTTCATTTTTCCATAAACCCATGTTGACTGCATTATGTTCACATTTTTCTGTAGTTGGTTCTCATATAATCTATTTTATTATTTCCTTGGGATATGCATCAAGCTATTCAGCTTAGCTGGGATACCTGGCTTTATCTTATGAATATTTCAACAATCTTCTTCTAGACTTTCCAAATTTTTCTGTTATTCTGAGAGTTATTAAAATGTTAAGAGCTAGTCAACTCTTTCAAAATTATCAGGAACAAATTATCTAACCTGACAGATATAAGTTCCTATAGAAAATCTGTTTATCATCTTCGTCAGTTGCTAGTGGCTTGGAAAGTACTTCCTCATCTTTAGGTAACAAAAGTATAATTTTTCATTCTTTGGGCTTTTTTTTTTTTTTTACTAAACGAGACATGGAATCATTAGCCTTCCTTATCAGTTTTCTTTGCTTCCCCTTTTCCCTTCTGTATCTTCCCTCCAGAACTTCCATTACACCTCTGCCTAGCAATTCTCATAGACTAAGAATCAGTTACACAAACCTCACAGACACATGAACAGACCTCTCTCTTGATTTGTTCAGCTTCTCAAAACCCCAGCCACACAGCTCTCACTGAGAGAGGCAGACAAACAAATATATCAAACACACAGCTTGCCAAAACCTTTTACATCCAAGAAGATTGGCATCTTTGAAACTATTTTTTTTTCCCTACTTCTTTTTAATCTATATTATTGGGCTGTTTGAGTATTTATGTCTCTGTCCAGCTTTACTGAATTTTAATTGGGGCACTGAAAAGTTACAGGCAATATGACAGGCTGAGAAAGAATTGTTTGAAGAATAGTATTGGATATTTAAATCCTATTAGTTCTAATAAAGTACTTTTGGCAGACATAATTCTTGTTCTGGGGAAGGGTAGGTTCTTCATGAAGGTTTACCAGCTTCCCACTTTGGATCTTCTCTCTCACCCAGGTCCAAAGTTCTGTCTAATTTTAATATTCACGAACATTATTTTGACAAAGTGATTTCCTATATTCTTATTCAAAAGAATATATCTTAGTTGTCTGTACTTGCTCCCAACTGTCTTTTTAGGACCTCAGTTGCAATGGTAGTCTGTAGCATTGATCAGTTAGAAACCGTATTGGGCCTTAGATAACCTGTATTTTCACTCAGACTTTGCCAACAGATCATTATATAGCCTTAGGCAAGTCATTCAGCTTCTTTCTTCACTTGCTCTAATATTTGTAAAGTGCTTAAAAATCAGTAAGTAAAAACTGCTACTTAAGTTCAATGTATTATTCTGCTTACATAGCTGATCTTTTAGTGTACTCACCTCCAAAAACATTATCTTCTAGGCTAACTTTACATTTGCAACCGAAGTAGTGGGGTTTTAAAATCTGAACTAGAAAAAATTATAAAGCAAAAAGTCTTTAGCATGTTAACATTATGAGAAAGTAGAATTATATTTTTCCAGGGTTAGGTCATTTTCATCAGCTGGGATAATCTTTAAAATAAACAGATTTTTCAAGCAGCACAAAGATTTTGTCGTCTTTTTGCTTGTCAGGTTGATATGTAATATATGAAATCAATTGTTTAAGGGTTTGTCCATTTAAAAATATATTTAGATTCTTAAATTTGTTTTGTAGTAGAAAATGGTTAAAAATTCGTAACATTTTTCAATTACTTGTGTTTTCTCTCAAGTGGGGTAGAAACTAGAGTGCAGGTCAAAACATACAGTGAAATTTTAAGTTTTTTTCCTGAGTTAAATAAAGGTACCATGAAATATGATGGACACACATATACAATAAAATGTATCAAATGTGTTTGAATGTTAAATGACTGATTTATTACAGAAAACAATTTTTAACTATGTTTAAAACAGTTTCTGGAAACAATAGGCCAGACTTTCAAAAGTATTTATGTATTTAATCATATAGATGCTGTCTGATGGGATTTTCAAAATCACATAATTGCTTTTGTGTATGTTTATTTATATCTGAAAATGTCACTTGGATATAAGTCTGTGTTTTAAGTACCTACATAAGTTAAAAACAGTTTTGTGAGAGCCTTTTCTTTCTCTTTTAAATAAGATTTCCTGTTTTTCCCCATTACTTTGTATTGGTATACTGGAAGAGAAAAATAATGTTTCAAACCCGAAGTCAGCTTACCAAACTCAAACAAAAAAAAAAAATTGTGGTCACTATTGAAATTGAGATCAAAAGTAATTAAAGGAAAAAATGCCTACACTCTGCATTTTTGTCCTGTGTTATGCCATTCCACAATAATCACAGATTCTCCCATGTATCCAGCTTCTCCCTCTAAAAATACCCTAATCTTTCTTGCATGTACCAACCATCTTCTTGCACAGCAGTATGTCCACTTTTCTCCATGTTCCTTCTCTATGTTTTCTAACCTGCCACCTGCACACGTTAAATCTAAGCCATAGGATGAATTCCTGTTGAGTTCACCCCACGCTTCCCTCTGCAAGAGCATGGTTATCCTCCACTCAGCCACCAGTCTACATCACATGAACACCCCCCCACATTACAACCTCTGCTCCTCAGATGCGGCCAATGGATTCCAAAGCACTAACACTGGAGTAGGGCAGGGATGAAGAGAGCGCGGTCTGTATGTAATTACATGAACCTAATTGCTTTAGAAATAGGGCTGAAGATTGATTATATACAATAAACTTGACAGGTCAACAGTTTGGCTGAGTTTATATTGTGTATAATATTAACTCTAACATAACTTTCTGTATTTGTTTTTGTTGCTTTTACATTTTCTGATTTTTTAGTGCTAGATTTAGCAATCTAGATATTTCAGTTTTGTTTTACATTTGATATTGATGAAACCAAATGTGACAATAATGTCTAGCTCTCAATCAATTCACATCCAGAAAAAAGTCCTTTTAAGATGGTTTTTTTGATTATTGTTTTGCAGGAGTAAAGATTAAGTAGCAGATATGTGTAAGTCATTGTCCATAATGTTGTGAACGCTTTTGGACAGTTAACTGATTGTTGCTTTACATTGGAGGCTGTTATGTAAAAGACAATCAATAAGCTATTGTCCTATATTCTATTGTCCTTTTCTAACCACTGTTCATGTGTGTAACATTGGTTATTTAACACTGTGGTATACCATAAACATCTGAAATGTCAGAATGTTGCTTGCTATTTAACCTCTTCTATTACAGGATGATTCTGTACCTAATACAGTACAAGTTTGTTTCTCGTGACCAAAAAATGCTTGCTACATTATAACAGAATCAGGAATCAATGACTTTATGCCTGCCCAAAAAGATTAAGAAAAAGATAATATTAAATGGCCAAAACAGCTAAAAATCAAATTCTGCCTGATGATCCTAGTCTTCCTCTATGACAGAACAACAGACCTTGTGGCTAGAAAAGTAGCAGCAATTGTCAAGTTATCTTGACGTAACTTTCGTAAAGGTTCACTCACCCATTTTCTAACCAAGACAATTTAATTCAGATTGCATATAAGTGGTTGAATAATCAAAGACAAAAATGATCTCATAATCAACTCAACTTGTAATCGCAGGTAGTCTGTTTCACACTGGCCCTTCTTTGGGTGGGAGCTGGACCAAATGAAATCCAGAGGTCCCTTCCAATTGAAATCATTCTATAATTCTGTGATCCTATGATACTGAAGCAGTACGCAAGGATTTTAGAAGTTGTTACTAAAATTAAAATGTTCTTATATCAATTCAATAGGAAGTGCAAATATAATTCACCCTGTCTTATGTTGGAGGGACGCACTGAACCATGTCCTGAAACCTTTTTGCTTGTTACTTTGGTGGTTCACTGATTGGTAAACGTATTGGGGTTGCAAAGTATAGTGTGAAAATTTTGTGCTATTGTTCCAACCATGTTGGAACATTCTGGCTGTCATAGTGCTTTGTATCAACAGTATGTGAAAGGTATTTTTAGATTATATATCAGCATGCAGCTTCATTCTTAGGATCAAAGATTCAGAGGAAAACATTATGATAAGAAATGTGCCAAAGGAAAACAGCTGTTTGGGAAAAGTGCTGTGAAAGCTACTTAGTTTATAAGCAAAACTAATATTCTTTCACATGACCATAATATTTAGAGTGGTGTTTTTTCCATATATACAGTCAAATGACTGTGCAGTCAGAATTTATACGTTAACATTAGAGAATAATCATATAGTGCATATTTAAAATGTTACAAACATTGAGCTCTAGGATTTTCAAGTTTAATCATATTATTCACGTTCAGTGAATGTATAGATGTATGAATGTATGTTCCTTGATGTATAGAAAAGCATAAAGGGTCATTTCAATTGTAAGAAATATGGGGCTTGGATAGTTGGGAGGCATAAATCTAAATCCTTTTACAATATTCATTATTTCTACTGGATCAAAATGAGGAAGATTCAGATAATTATCTGAATAACAATGAGCCCTAGGTTAAGTTGATGTTCCCAAGAAAGTTGAAGAACTATATGAAGTGAATTAAAAGATGTGGGATGTATTCTCTATTGATATTTAATGTTTTTCTCCTTCCTGGCTTTTATAAAACTTATAGCTGAATAGATATGCTCAGATTAATGTTTACCTTTTCCCCTATGTCAACAGAAAAAAACAATTTTCCCATTAATCAGATAAATGTTTTTTAGGAATTTTATTTGATGAACTCTAATTACAATTGCAAGAACACTAAATATTAAATATTATAAAACTGCTTAATATCTGAAACTTCTGAAGCTGAGATACGTAACAATACGCTGTTGCACATATTAACTCATCTACTTTGCTTATAATGGCTTTCCCCATTTGTCCATAATGCACACAATAGCTCTGACTTTCTTTGATTTTGTGCTTTTTCTTTCAGGTTTGGATTTATTCTTCATAAGGACGAACCTGTGCTCCAGAAAATTGATCTAGAAACTATGTCGTACATCAAGACAATTAGTTTAAAGGATTATAATTGCATTCCTCAGTCTCTGGCTTACACACATCTTGGAGGATATTTTTTTATCTGCTGTAAGCCTGATACTACTGGGGCTGTCTTACCGCAGCTTATAGTGGATAGTGTTACTGATTCTGTGATTGGATACAATGGCGACATAACAGGCACGCCACATATGTCTCCAGATGGACACTACCTTGTCAGCATTGATGATGCAAAAGGTCTCATGAGGATCCAGTCCATAACAATGAGAGGAGAAATACAGGACGCATTTGACATTCACACTAATTTGCACATATCTGATGTAGCTTTTCAGCCATCATTCACTGAAGCTCATCAATACAATGTCTACTGTAGCTCCAGCACGCAAACTGATGTTCTTTTCGTGGAGCTCTCCTCTGGCAAGGTTAAGATGGTGAAGAGTCTGAAGGAGCCTGTCAAGGCAGGCGAATGGCTTTGGAACAGTAAGAACCGTCTTATAAAAGACAGTGGCCTTTTTGGTCAGTATCTCATGACCCCTTCCAAGGAATCTCTGTTTATCCTGGATGGACGGCTCAATAAGTTAAATTGTGAAATCACTGAAGTTGAGAGAGGCAACACAGTAATTTGGGTTGGGGAAGCATAAGGATCTGTGTTAGATATTTACTGAATTAATAGTTTTACAGTACATTGCACTTAAATTACACCATTTTTCAAATTTCATTTTAAATTTTTAGACCCTTCTATACCTGCTATTTCTTTGACTTGAACACAATTTGAATCAACTTCCACATAACAGTTACTAAAGCAATGACTATTTGATAATAGTACTCCTTATTAATTATCAGCTGAGATTGTGGTGTTTGACTGAAATGACTAAATATTGAAATTGATTATAAATATCATATATTATTTTAAAGGAAGTAGAAAAAAAATGAAAAAGCTTCAGGGAATTTTAAATGATACTTAACATTTGTAAATGGAAGACTTAAATATGATTCAAATTTTTGTTTGGCTTGCTTCAGACACAAAATAAGAGCTATTGTACAACCTTTGACTCCTTAAACTGAAATGTTATGTCCTGTTCTGTCCAGTCCACTGTTTAATCTTTTTGTGCCTTGAAGTGAAAGTCTCACATGAAAGGTAAAGCATAGAAATTGTGTAATTTATTCCCACTGTGGCTACAGGATGCTTGTCATTGGAAAGAAATTTTTAGTATCAAATTTCTAGTCTCAAGTTGTGGAACATACATGAAGAAAAAAAAAAAGGAGAAATATTTGCAGTGTTTTCTGATCACTGCGATTTGAGGAGTTTATTTTTATGGCGAGTCTTAGTTGAGAGAGTTGCTTGCAGAAGCTTAACCTTTTTTTAGAAAAAAAAAAGATGTTAGGTTTTTCAGCTATCACAGGGTTTCATCAGCAAGGAGTTTTAGTTCTGCTAAAGAGAAACATTGCACTTATCCTTTCAGAGTAAACCATGTTCTAAAAACCTGGCATCACAAAGCTTCACATGTTGTCAAGGAAACTGTTATTTAAAAACAAACAAAATGCATTTTAAGAAACTGAAAATGCAAAGGACTGAAGTCTACAACCAGTAGATAGCATTTTTGCTTATGCATTGTACCACTGATCCATATTTGTTAAACCATTTGTTTAGCTCAACAGATTTTCTATTCCGTGCATCCAATTGGATTAGTGCAAAAAAGAAACAACAAAAACTTTGTATTTTTTATAGTTTGTTTACTTAGAATTCTAATATTAACAATGCTTAAACCTGTAAATGGGAAAAATAAGATTCCCAGAAGTAGAATAACAAGTCAGTAGGATCAGAAAGCCAGCAGTAAACAACTATCCAGACTTAGAGCAATGACTTAAAAGTTTGGGAGTGTTTTTATTTTTATTATGTGTTTGCTAAAGAATGCTTATAAGCTCTTAAACTGACCTCCATTAACTGAAAGCAATCAGAAAAAAATATCTTTTTTTAAACAAAATTTTACTGCAATTTAGATTGTGTAAAATTGCTTAGAAATCTGGAATTTTCTAGTATCGTAATCTTGTGTGCATTTAGCATCCTGCCCTGTGCGGTACAGTAGATCTCTCTTTAGCTTGAGCAAACCTCCTGGTAGGTAGATTTAACTAAGATAAGAGTCTGCTTACATTTCTAGCTACTGAATCTGTTTTCCTTTTTAACAACTTTTCTCCATTGTGAACAAACAAGAATCATGTAAACTGTTTGTTACTCACTTATTTGCAGTAGTCTGTCTCATGCATTTTTCTTCTGTAACTTACACCACGTGAATGTTCTGTATGTAGAAAATGCTTGACAAAAGGAGAATAAACCCCATAAATTTTAAGCAGTCCTGACTTTGGTGAATGCTCCAATGTAGCCACACTGAAGTGGCATGTAACAGACTTTTGTTTGAAAGCAAGATGGAAGGAAGTTTTTCAGCCTTTTTATATATATATATATATACACACACACATATATACATAAATACAATTATATACAGTGTGGAAAGAAAACTTTTTAGAAGAGCTTAACTAACTGGAAAATTTTTCTTTGGCTGCTACAATGAAAAGCTCATCTATTAATCAATTAGGCACAGAGTAATTAGAGTATAGACAGATAACTATTCTCATGCCTAGCCTCTGGAGCCAAAAACCTCTAGTCTAGAAGCTGTACAAACATATAAGCCCAAACCGAGAAGCATAGCACTCCAGTAGGACAGCTAAACAACTCTCTATCCAGTCTGCTCAGTGTAGATGTATTGTATGCTTACTTTGCCCTCTCCTTGCCTAACCATTAACATTACAGATAAGAACTGAATCCCATGATGATAGTGAGATTCCCTCAACAATGAAAGCTTTCCTACATTCTGCATGTTCCTTTACAATCTCTATCAAAGTCCAAGTCAGATGTCAGTTTTTGGCAGTGTCTTATTCTTTTGTATTAGCAACATTTGACAACTGGAGAAGCTTTAAAACTTGAATAAACTATGTTGCTCATTATATGAAACAGGAGACCAAAATCCCTGCTAATATACTTAACAGATTTAACTATGTCAATAATATCACAGTAATTTGTATAGTATAGAAACTGTCTCAATCAGTTTAGAATTCTTGTTTTAAACCAATTTCTCTATTTCTACCCTAAGAATATCTCTTGACTAGCTAAAGCAGTTTGGTAAAGGTCTATTGCCAATTCCCTGTATTTTGTTTAGCTAGTCCAGTGTAATAGCTCAAGGACCACGATTTGTTTCTTTCCTATTGTTGTGGAACAGAAACAGGTTTCTGGTCTCCAGGAGCTGTTTGATCCCATTGAATAAATGAAAAAACAAACACTGTCTTCAGTGTTTCAAATTTCTCTTAATACGAATCCAGATGTAACAACAGTTAATTTTGAATCCTGTCTTTCCTCATTGCTGCTGGAAGCAGAGGCAACGAATGCCTTCTCTCAATTTGTGGTAAACACCCATATTTTATTTCATAAGCTGTTACAAACTTTCAAGATTTAGGATTTTCTTACAGAAGTACATCACAGAAAAGTAGTGCAAGATAATGCAAATGTAATGGAAGAAGCCAAATGTACATTATGACCAAGTTCTGTTACAGCTGCTGAAAGTTTCCACTATGTTCCTGTACGCTAGTGAATTTGAGAAGCAGATGTGAAGACAAGACGGAGTGCTCTTCACCAGGGATTGTGATGATAGAGCTGCTTTTGCTAAGGTATTAAAAAAAATATTATTTATAAGACATGGAGAAAAGGCTCTGTCAGGCTATTTTAAGAGTCACCAAAGGAAAGAAAAAATGATGCCAAAGTAAAAAAAAAAAAATGCTACTTTTCCCTTCAGTTTGGCAGTAGACATTTTTAGTTGTCTGTGCCCAAAGGTACCTTTTAAACTACTATTCCATACTGATAAACAGCTAGTTATTTGCTGCACTACTATATGTACATTAGTCGATATGTATAAGAGATTAAAAACAGAGAGTTTTTTAAAGTTTTTCTTTTATAAACTAGTAGAGATTTTTATTTCAAATACGATCTTGCAATTTTTCACTTTTTGCATGTGATCTAGAGTATCATCATCTGCCTTCATTTATATCCTTTCTGGCTGCTTGGTTTATAATATTAAATTGTGAGAGATTGCTAGTTAAGCAACTTCATAAATAGGTAAACTGAGCTCAGGACTACCCCTTCAGTGCATTTAATTATATTTCCCATAAATAAATTATTTCAAAACATCTAGACGTATGTTGCCAAAGAGTTCATAAGCCCAAAAATAAGATGTCTCTGCAAATTTGTAAGAAACTTACCTTGTATAAGCACGTCTTTAAGAACTTCAGTGGAAAAAAAAATGAAACAAGTTTCAAAGAACTCTACGTAGTTTTGTAAGTGTTGTCAATGGGGTTAAAAGTGTCATTTTGAGTTTTTATTGAGCTGCCTGCTCATACCATATCATTAAGTAAGGCTGTCTGAATGTTGTATTAAGAAAAGAACATAGTTATTACATCATTTTGCCTACTTACCACAATATACTCAGTTTGATTTCAACTGAAAGAGCATCATCATCTTAATTGGGACATTTGTTTTTATCTAGTGAAAGACCAGTAACAGGATACTTTGCAGGATATTTTGTAAATAAATTGGTAGGTCTCAAATAATTCTGAAAAAAAAACCCATAATATTATCAGTCACCTGTCCTTATTTTTTCCCCTTTTCCTGGTATTTTGAAGTGAACACCTGTAATGCATTTCAAAAGCTTCTGGAAAACCAAATCAATTAGTTGCTACAGGAACATGCCTAGTAAGTATTATAAAAATTCAAAATGGCATAACTAACATTTTCACTCATTCTCCTTATTCTGCCAATTATTCTCGCAAACAACCTTAGTGAAAACCAATACAGACAGATAAGCTTTGTAAAATATTTTATAGGTCAACAGATTCCAATTTTGTCTGATTTAACTGTATTGTGTAAATGTATTGATTTGAGCCAGGTTATGTTGTATCCTGAACAAGTGCTCTCACCGCTGTATAGGGTACAAAAAGGAGGAAGCCTTTGCCCGCTCTCCCTGCATCTACATTTTAAAAGAAAAGAAAGGCCACATCTTCAAAGACTGTAGATGGCTATTTTCAGCTTTCTGAATTTGCATCCAAAATGGCAGAAGGCACCTTCCAGCTCTTCTTAGCAAACTGAAATCATAGAGAGGTCCTACACCCCATGTAAATTCCATTAGCTACTTCTAGACCACCTTTTCATTCTCTGCCTGTCCAAGCTCTAATTCTGAGGTACCCAATGTTTTTCATTGACACAGAGGACTCCTAACAATAAGCTCAAGAAAGCCACTTAGCGGCAATACCTAACCCTAAGGCACTCCTGACTCTAAATTAGCCCTAGGTACTCAATCAGCATGTATCAACCAGTAGCAATGTGACCTGACAGTATCCTGTTTCTGCCAGGTTGTGGCCAATTTCAGAGCTTCACTGAAGGAAATAAACTCAGGATAAAGATCATTAAAGAAAATTTAAAACAAAAAAATCAACACCAAAACATTCCTTGCTCATACAAGTAACCAGAAAAATGCTTAACACAGGGTTCAATATACAAACAATAATTTTGTTTCCTTTAAAACATCTTTGCAAAATA